AATAGTTTAACAACTTTCTTTCCTTATGTTTCTCCAATGGGTTCAGGATAAAGCATATGAGATCATCCTTTTTTTAATCCTTAAAATGTTCTTGTACTGTGGGGTATACCAGAATGTAACACTGTTAAAAGGTTAATCAAGATAAATTATTGATCATTTGACAATTGTTTAATACCCAGTGATTATTATTAAATACTGTAAAGTATGTTTTTAATTGATGTAGTAGTTCACAATTATTTTTTTACCTCAAACATGCCCAAGAAAAAATACTGTATATCAGTTACTTCAAATAGCATGGACCCAAGATGGTTTAGATGGTTTAGAACAATGTTTCTCAACCTTGGCAACTTTAAGACCTGTGGACTTCGATTCCCAGAATTCCCCAGCCAGCAAGGCTGGCTGGGGAATTCTGGGAGTGGAAGTCCACAGGTCTTAAAGTTGTCAAGGTTGAGAAACACTGGTTTAGAACATAGTTTTATACAGGGACATCCAGCGGGGTTATCAAAAACCAAGTTGGTGAGTGAGACTGTGCAATTGAAGTCCTGCCCCCTTTTTATGGGCAATGGATGTAAAAAAGGGGCGGAGCTTCAGTTGGACAGTTACGGATGCCATTTTTACTTTTTTGACCCTAGTTCTCTGTTTTATGGTTTTATCAAGGGATAAAACAATTTGAAAAGGCTCTCTCTTGGTAGCAAGGCAACAGGTCTATTCCCCAAAAGCAGCCAAGATTCTTTTGAAAATGTAAGGTAAACACCATAAAGACAATGAGATAAAAATCACAAGGGACCATGTGAATCTGGGCACAATTTCTTAGCCAATTGTTAGAGAAGCAAGGGGCAGAGACCTGGACTGATCAGAGGAAGACAGCAGCTGCCTGGGCTGAACTGTAAATCTAGGTTTCCAGATAAAGATATCAAAGGCTTAGTAACTGACAGGCATGTCTGTAGGGGACTGAAATGTAAGCGTTCTTGATTTTCTGTTCTTCTCACTAAAAAAAGGAAACAAAAACTAAAGAACGTTGTGGAGGGTATTATTGTGGCACTCCTACGAGACTGTAGCTCTGGTGTTTGGGCAGAGATGACTGTTGCGTATCCTCCCAGTTGTGTGGTGCCTGTCTTACTTTTCTATTTTTCTTCAGGATTAAACCATAATCCCATTAACCCAGGGATATCTCTAAAGGATCTGACGCTTTTGTTGCCATCACCAACTCTTTCCTGGTTTCAACATTCTTTTGTTTTTCTCCTTTCTCTCTATATCTGAGGTAACGTGACCAGGTGGAATGTGGGGAAGATACAGAATGGCATAGCCACTTTGCCTAATGGTTAAACAAGGAACAGAATTAGCTTTTATTAAATAACGTAAAATGGCTTATAGACAGATTCAGAATAGGATTAGAATGTGCCAGTGGGCTGCCAAACCTTTCCTTCCAAATGCTAAAAGATATACTCATAAACCCGTCACCAGGAGAGATGGAGGGTGTCCTAAGCTAGGGCCTTGAGCTTCCGTCACAGCCATCTTTCTAATCCCCCACCCCAAATCCCTCTGTAATATACACTCGGGGAGGTGTCCTGGGTTAGTGATGGAGTGTCCACCAGACCTGGGAACATGGAGGAAAGAGGAGGAACATTACTGAAAAGATTTCTTGGTTTAGAGGAGGGGAGAACATAAGAAAGGGATTCCACCTTAATTACGCCAGGTATTGGTTGATCTGGAGAATTGCTTTGGCAGGCTTTCAAGATTTGTTATGCTCTCCTACTAGCAATTAAGATCATTCCACAAATCCAAGTGATTCTTCTTTCCTAACTTTGCCAGCCGTCGCCATTCACTGTAACTGTGCTAGTCCCACTCCTCTGCATCGTATCAGCTGATCAAACCATCACTGTTGTGTTTCCCTGGCAAGGTAGTGTTCTTAATCCAATCAGCAATACCGGACTCCATTCTCTGTCAAGACAATTCCTCCAAATCATTGGAGGCATGCAAACACCTCTTCCTAGTTCAGTTATTAACAGAAGATCCAGAAACCCAACCGAATCCTGTATGCTCCTATCATTTTTGTAGCTTTATCCTGCAAGGCTGCTTTCCCTGTTCCCCCACCCCAGAATCAAAATATAGAGAAGTCCTGGCACAAGGCTACTGATGTCATCCAAGCAAAACAGATGGACCAGAGAGACGTGTGTTTAGACAGCATATCTGAAGTTCTGGCTAACACCAGAATTAACTGAAGAGTGACTGATTCAACATCTCATACCTTTTCTTGAACTGCAATTCCTGAACTTTGTCGGTCAGTATATCTTCTACTTTTGTTCTGCAGCACAGGAGGAGTTGAAGAATCCTTACCAAGGAGATCTACAACCAAATTTAACTATGAATGTGTGCATTTCCTAAATTGCCTTAATAAAATTAAGGCTTTATTAGCGATTTGTGGAAACTGAAATGCATTTGGGTCCTTTGTTGAAAACCCTTCAGGAATTCTCACTAGTAAAGGTCAGAAAGTTCTTGGGCAAAACAGAAAATTGTATCATTTTACTTGGAAATGGAAAGGATTGAACCATGACTCCTGCAAGCAAGCATTGGCCCCACCCAAATTTATTTCAAAGGTTTCCTCTCTGTCAAAACAACTCTCCAGGATTAAAATCCACAAACTCATGCATATAAAAGAAGATAAGAAGATCCCTGTAGGATCCAGCTAAGGTTCATTTAATCCATCTTTCTAGTCCCACAGTCCCCAGCCAGGAAGATGAAAAGGGAACAGCTATTTTCTGTTGCTGCTCACCACTAATTACAGTGCAGGATCTGGAGGAGACAGACAGTTGTCCTCACTACTAGCTGCTGGTGGACTAATCTTTCATTGCTTCATAATCCTATTTTCTAAACTACTGATTCCCTACCTTGAACCCCCAGCAGTTACTTGGCCATAGTCTCTTCCTCCCCAGCTAGGATGAGCAATAAACGGGGATTATGAGAGTTGAAGTCCAACACCTGGAGACCAGTTGTTGTTCAATGACCCTAAGTCCCCATTTCAGACCTTGCAGGAAGACAATGCAATCTTGACCTGTACCGGTTTGACTCTTTCTGCTATTCTGCACCAATATTGGAAAAAAGGCATGTATTTTATCTCAGAGTAGAGATGCTGACTTGAGGTAGTAGACAACTACAAAATGATGGGAGGGAAATGAATTCTTGTGCTTGTGGTATTCCCCAAGGCGCCTACGTAGAGCACCTCATTCAGCATGCCTTTCCCTCAAGGGGTTAGGTCTGCTTGGATGGACCAACAGGGGCTACCTTGGGCCTTCTCTACCAGAGAATGCACGAGGCACCTCCTTCAGCTCTATGCCTTTACCAAAAGAGGAATGCACATGCGACCTGAAGCTGTAAGAGGGGTCTTCCTGGGTCTTCCTATCAAGGAAGCACGATGGGGAAAAGTTCAACTGATGTGCATCTTCTCTGACAACATTTGTTTTGGAGGTTGGCATATCCGTTATGAAAAGATGCAATAAATAAAAGGTATAGTAACTAGAAAAAGACTGGATTGTTCCACACAATTGGATTAGGGCTGTGGGTGAAGATTCCCATGCCTGCTTAATGCAATGCATTTAAAGAATCTCTTATGATTTATTAAATATTTTTAATTTATGTAATTTTGACCATACTTCAAAGTGCATTAGGTGGCTTGCTACATCTCTAGACCATAAGTAAGGAAGTCACTTTCTCTCTCCATATTCAAAGGTAACCAGTAGCACTGCAAAAGAAGGTACTTGTTGTCTACTTAGTGCAACAGGAAGTGTGGCTACCACCCATATCTCCTGATGCACATACAATCACAATACTCAAGTATCAAAACTTAGCACAATGTACACCACAGCCCCCTCCAGTTGTTTTGACAGACAGCACAGGTCAGCCACCCACCGGCCCAGGCAATCACCTGTGTGCAGAGCCACAGCACATTTGTGATTTGCAGGTTTCTAGATGGACTCAGCTTCATTTTTCCTACTCATTTTCTCTCCAAGAAACCTGATTGTTCAGCAGCTTTGGCAGCTGATGGCTATTAACTGTCACACTCCAGTAAGCAGGGGATAGAGCAGCATTAAATATTTGCAGGGCACGGAGAGGCTGTCCTTCCTCTCTCTTGGAATCCATGGGCTAGAAGGAACCCCACCTCATTGCTATTCCAATCTCTCGCCTTTTCATTAGGGTTGAGAAATTGGTCAGCTCTGTTGCCACAACGGACGTCTCATCCTTTATGCTGGTTCAGTGACATGTGAATAACCAAGGCAAACCTTTATCTTGGCTTCTTTGTGAGAGAGCTTATATTAATTGTCCTCCCTAAACAGTGAACTGCTACGCACCTCTGTTGGGGAGTATTATTTTTCCATTTCAAAATTGAAGTACCGAAGGTATTTTCTATGCATAGTACAAGAGATGCAAGATGAACTCAACTAGTTGGGTGAACAAAAAGCAGAACAGATGTAATGGGACAGGCTCAGAAAGTGCACTGGTGCTTGGCTGTCCAAAGCTATGTAATACATTTTTAATGTATTAACCACCATCTTACATTTTATGCTGTAAAATTTCAAGTAACCAGCTTCTTCCTAAATGGAGTTACTTAACTTGGCCACTAGGAAAGTTTTGCCACTAAATAATGTTCCACATCCAGTTTCTCTATGGTTCTGTCTTGGTGCTGGAATGTTCTGAAATAATCCTGGCTTCCAAATAAAGTCCAATCTATTTCAATATTCCGAGGACAACTGCTAGATTTGAATTACTGTATCAATATCGTCAGAATGTTTTTTTATCCAGTGCTTATTAACTTAAAAGTGGCAAGGTTATAGGTTTTGGTTACTTAATGAAATATTTTCCTTCCTTTCTAAATTATGCGTTTTTATCAGCACCACTAAGAATTGCAGTGAAGTAACACTGACAGGTTAATTCTTTCCACTTACTCTTACAAGGGTCTATTTACTGCAATATAACCTCATCACACAATTAAAAACCCAGAGAACTCCTGTATCACAATTCCTTTATTTATCAGTATCAAATTACATAGTAAATTACTTTGGAGAAGGTACGTCTTGAATACTGTAATACAAATAAGGATGTTTCCATTATTTGACATACCTTAAAACTTAAAACTGTGCGTTGAAATAAAACATTACATTTTGGCATATCCCAAAGAAACAGCCTGCAAGAGTATTTCTGTACTTCATTTTCACACAATACTTTTATACTTTTGAGATACAGCCACAGATTCATAACTGGTGCATGCCTATTATGGATTTTACTTATAACAACATCCAGGTCCTGCTCTGGAAAAATGAGATTCCCAAGCCCTAATCCAATTTACATTCAGAATGAAGGTCCTGCCCCTCATTTGAGGAATCTGCTCCCAAACCTCTTACTCCAGATCACATAATCTTGGGTCACCCCAAAAATCATGGTTGTACTCCTAATTACTGCAGGAGAAGCAGGATTAAGCTGGGTGGGTAAGTAAAATGCCACATTAGCATCAAGGAAAGCCCAACCCTTTCTTACACTTGTACCATTATTTCAGCCATTCCCCAACTGAATTCTCTTCTGGCTGAGGTGAGCAGTGTTGGCCAGACTTGAGGATACCAGAAAAATATCTAGAAGGGTTTCAGGATGCACTTGAGAATTGGGGGGCTGTCGTACAGGGGAGCTGCACGCTGGATGGTCTGGCAGTCCGACACTAGTACATTGGGGGGAGAAAGGGATCCAAGAGATGTGTCTAAGGTCCAAGTGAACAGAAGTACAGAAACTTCAATGCAGAGTAACTGGGAAAAGGGAAGTAGGCAACATTTCCTGTTGATCCCTCGGCTTGTCAGTATCATATGAACTCAGGTTTCTCTGGGAAGGTGCAACCAGAACGCTTGACGATCACGCTGGCGGCATAGTGGCCACCACGGATGCACTCCGTCAATGGCCGATCGTAGACCAACTGAGAAAGGAAGCCTGAAGGACAAGATGAAGAGAAAAAAAAAAAACATGTTAGGCTGAGCACACCTAACACACCTCCCCTCTGGGGTGGGGGAGAAGGGTTGCCATTAAAAACAAGGGAGGGAAAGCCTGCGGAACACGGCTTCTGGAATTCTTTCCAACCTCTCTGCCAGGAGAAGGTTGGTCACTTTTCCTGTGTTGCACCTGCGGGCTTCTGCATTCGCCTTAAGGTGCATCTCTGTGAGCAAGCGGCATACGCTGTGTGTTGAGCAATGTGGCCAGGAGGAAGGCGAGAGGGCTTTCCTTTTGCTAGCTTCTTCCCCCACCTGACCCAGAGCAGAGCATCTGCAGCTCACCCCGGGCTCCCCAGTGCACACATCTACACAAACGCACACACACTTCCTATGGCCGCTGCTGGTTAAAAAGATTAGGAAGAATTCCAGAAACCATGGTCTGCAGGCATCTCTTACTATTAGTTTTTAAATGCAAGGGTTAGAATTTTGATGCGTTAATGTTTTAATGCTGCTGTGGGTATTTGCCCTTTTCTTTTGTTAATCAGTTTAGAATAATAAAGAAACACCATTTCTAAAAGGCAGATCGCCTGTTTAATGGAGCCAAGCCATTTTTTTTTGGTTTACTGCTGACTTCTTTATTAGGATGATCCGTTCTGACATTACATCATATGTTTAATACCATTGGTAAAAGTGCTGCAGAATGGGGTGAGGTAAGAGTCATTTGTATAGTGAAATGGGTGGCATATATAAATTTGGAAAATCAATCTCTCTCTCTCTCTCTTTCTGGGGCTAAAACACCTGAAGAAGTTTCTTAGGTGGACCAATAATAAAATGCGATTTAAGCCAAAAGATCCCACACATTCAGTGACTGACTACTAAATATGCCTGTGTCTGAGGCTGCACAATTTAAAAATAAACCATACAATGTGGTTTGTCTTCCCTACATTAACAGTAGGCTTGGGCCAAAGGCAAGTAAGCCCAATCAGAAGAAATAAATTAGATTTGCCCCCCTCACTCTATTTTCAACCCCCTCAGAATATATTTCAGTAGTTTCATTACTTCTCATTATTTCTGGGATGATTAAAATTAGGCTTAACAGTTCCTGTGCTAGTCAGGGGAACATTTTTTGTTTCGGAAATGATGCTGAGGCACGTTTGCCGTCTATTTCCCAAATAACATTGTGGAATTGTATCACAATCCTGTTTAAAAATTCCATGATCTGGGGCAGGTAATGCCATAATCTGGATTGTTCCTTTCATTCTACTACTTCTCTTTGCTCTAACTCAGAATAACAACTTCTCCTTAATGATGCTTCAGGGAAATTTAAACTGGTAAGTACATCATAAAAGCCATTGCAAAGCTGCTACTTTTCGATGAAAATACCAATTTTGTAGCATGACAGAAATGTAAATGAATACCCAAAGATAACAAAAATAAAAGTATAAATTGTTTCAACCAATGGTAAAATGTGACATTGGGATCATGTTGCTTTACTCATAGGTAGTAGATAATTTTTTAAGGATGACTTAACTTACCCCTGTGCAAAAGGGTCTTAAAGTAACACCTATCTGTGGGGAGAGGGCAAAGTTTGCCTGGGTGTTTAAAAAAAAAGGCAGAGGAAGTGAAGCCAAGGAACTTGGAGAATCATATAGCACAGAAACCAGGGTAACCAATGGCTTCTGAGGATGAACTTGACACCCATGCAGGACACCAACTATAATCTGATAGATATGGCTGAGATCTGATAGGGTAAGTTTCATGATTAGAATATGGCAGATGAATTCTGGTTTCCAGTATTAGATGATTCTGTTGACACCAAATAGGAGCAAATGTGATTTAGGGAGAGGAATCATATTAGACTGCATTTCGTTAATTTAATAAGATTTTTAAAATACCAAATCAAATATCCCTTTGGTTTAGCCCCATTGGTTTTGTCTACTTTCCTGAATGCAGCCCTCAATTTTACCATCTAAGATCAAGTGTGGTCTAAAATACGTTATGAATCCCTTGACTAGATAATATCCAAAGGCTTTTCCAGTTCTATGACTGTTCTTCATATATTTTAACTACCTTCTTAGAAACGTGAACAATTAAGAGAAGTAATTTTCTCTTCATGCTTTAGTGATTATGATTTTGGAATTGTGACAACTAGTATGACCAACCAACTTTGGTCATTCGCTTGGGGTGCCTGGCTTCTAATTTTGTAACTATTAGTTTGATTCTCACTATCAGAGATGAAATGTTTGATGAAGCCAAAACAGCAAGATACAATCATGGTATGCACATTAGAAACATTAGAAGCATAGAAAACATTTAGAGTTTTCAGTAATTAATTTCATATTTTCAGAAGAAATGTACAAGGACTCAAGGCAGTTTCACTTTAATGTAAAAGTGAAGAGCGTCAGCAGTTATGGAAATTCCTATTATGCAGGTGGGTTTTCTTCAACTCACCTAAAGAAACTTTGGCAGATCTACCTAAGGTAGAAGGGCCCAGATTTGTTCTCATTAAAACAACTGGCTTCTGATAATTGAAAGTTTGGTTTTCTCCAGCCCTAAGAAATGCCAAGCAACAATGTAAGAAACATCAGCAGTTTGCCTTTATGACTGCTTTATTTATTTTTGTTTTATTGGATTTGCAATTTTTTTGATCTGATGTACTGTTTAAGTCCAGAAACTTGTTACTGGATGGCTGATGAGTAAGTAAGCTTTTGTCAATTCCACAAGTAGGTTTTAAGCTAGAGATAGTCATATAAATACAAAGATTAAGGAATGTGTATAGAAGACAATTGCTTTCAGTGGAAAGCATTCAAGCCCAAAAGAGATGAAAATGAATTACCAGGCAGAAAGAAAATACTTTGAGGGAAAATGCCACAAAAATCTCAATTATGCACAATGCTGCCAGGACCCTCTGGGTGCTGCCAAGGCATTCTACCTATCAAGCATGCCTGCACTTCCAGAACTGAAGCCGTCTGTCTAGTCAAAGTCATACAGTTCTCAATAACACAGTGAAAAACAATCTGCTCTTCATTAAATTAACATTCAACCTTAAAGGATAAATGCCTGGATACAAAGACAGCATCAGGCATGAAAACTTAACTGTCCTGAAGCTTGAAATGGGCCAGTAAGATGCTTGGTGGCTTAACCTTGTCATGACAGAATTCTTGTTGCACGATCCTTCTTTACTTCAAGGTTCTTCTCTTAACATTATAGTAGTTAATCCTGTAAATTGCTTGGGCCACCCTGAGCTTTATCATGGACATATGAGATTGGATTCAGATGGTGACCAGCAACCAGCGAAGTTGCTTCAACATGGAGCACTGTGAGGCCCCAAGGAGGCCCCATGCATAACTTATGCTGCTTTATACATAAGTTTTGGACTATCTTGAAGAGCTGCCCTATGAAAATGGCATTTCAATAGCCTAGCTTTGAAATAACTAGCACAGGAATCTCTGAATCTTGATCTTTTTCTTCTAGGTATGGATGCCGAGAAAAAGCCCTCCTTGCCATGGATATTATGTGGCTGTCCAATAGCAATCCTGGATCAAGGAAGATCCCCAGTGAACTACAGTGGGGCAAAAAAGTATTTAGTCAGCCACCAATTGTGCAAGTTCTCCCACTTAAAAAGATGAGAGAGGCCT